GAATTATGCACTCTTTAATTGGCATTAAGAGTATTAAATAAAGATAGCAAAGAAGATTTTTTATTAAGTTTTGAAACTTTTGATGTCATCCTTCTTAATATTATTAATGATGGTAATTGAAAATCCTGTCTTAATCTATTATACAATGACCATAATGTTGTATAGTACTATATCTGAGCTGTATTTTATTACAACCATTTTGGGGCCATTGCTGAAAAGTGCTGACTAAAGATATTCTTGTGATCAAAAGTCATAGAATTTAAATATCGGACAATTTCTTCCAATGTTGACCAAGTATCAACTGTATTTATACAGATTTTGGACAGGCTACTAATATAAAACTTAACTCCATAATGAAAGGTTTTAAACTGCATTTTTTTTTTTTTATAAATTCTCAACATAACTTTTGACAACTGAACAGTTAAAATATTTTCAACCAAAAATGCTACAACTGGATATACAAAGTCTTTTTTGTTGTTGATTAGACTTTCTTTCAAATTTGTATAATTAATCTTATCTAATTCTAAAAAAGCATTAATTTCATCAATTTGATTTTGAGCAGTACTGAAGTTTTTTTTTTTATATCCCTTTGAACAGCAAAGGGTGTTGGTATTTGACTCTTTGGCACACTTGACCATAAAGATGGTGGATTTTTGGGGCACATTTTTCCATGAACTTCTATGGTATAAAATTTGAAGGGAAATGTAGTTGACAAATAACTGCATTGTTTGTAACATTCAGAATGGCATTTGGAACTGATTTTCTCCATTGTTTTCTCTCAGCTTTGTCTTTTGGAAAACGATAAACTGATATTTTATTCATCTCACACATGGTTTTGTCTTGCTGGCTTCTCTAATTTGTTTTGCAAGCAATGATAACACCTGTGGGGCATTGCTGGAAATTAGGTAATATCTGAAATTAGGTAATATCTGAAACGATTAAGCTTCTTAAGCACAATTATTTCTTTTACTGCTTCAATTTTCAAGCCAAATTATACTCTTAATCCCAACTTTGACCTCCCCTACCCATACAAATAAGTTAAAAACAGAAATTTTAGAGGGTTGCCTTAAACATGATAATCCACTTTTTAAAATGATATTTTTTTTTTTTTTTGTATATTGATTTTGTGGTATATTGTTAACAAAGGTTTGCAAAATATTACATAATCTTTTAATTAATTATTGAGTTAAATTATAAGTATCTAAATTTCTAACACTTGTCAACATAAGATCAGCTATTGCCTGGCTCTCTCCCAGAGTGCTGCTCCTCCAGGCAACACCTCCCCCTCGATTTAAAGGGAGGGACTGGGGTTTTTGCCCAGTACCTGATGGGAGAGTGCTTTGGCTATTTTTGAGACAATGTCTTGTGGTGGGGCAATCCAGCGCAATGCACTTTAATCTCGGCCTACTAGTGTGAAAAATTAGTTTCAGGCTCAATTTGAGTAAATAAATAAATACTGAACCTGAAAAAAAGACTGAGCAGCAAGCAGCAACATGAATATTATTTCGTTCACTGCGTTTTTAGAATATCGAATTTAAATTTATTCTGACATTTAAATTTTACATAAAAATATTCTTAAATGTTTTTTTTTGTTTTGTTAATTTTGTAGTAAGAATATGACATTTGGTTCTTTTTTACACTTTAATGAAAAATTAAAAAAAATCAAACTGAACATTAATATTTGTTGTTTTACCTAAAAACACAACTAATAAAAAAATAATTCTATGAATGCATTGATTTGTTCTTTATAAAGAAAAACTTGCGAAAAAATAAAGTAACGTTGTGAAATAATAATGTAAATTTATTTTTTAATAAATTTAAAAGTAAAAATTTAAAAACAAGCCACAAACATCAAACAAAAATGTCTACGAAAAGACATGTAAAAACTTGAGACACTAACTTTAAACTTTTCATCTCAGATATATAGACATAACTTTATTAATGTCATTTTTTTTTGTTAATTTTAATAAGTAAATCATTACAGTTAATTCAATATCAAAGAAAATGTGGTTAAAAAAAGAATCATTTTTTTTAACTTAGAAAAACAAATATACAGGGCATTAAAAAGAGAATTTGTTTTTGAAGCATAACTGTTTGCTTTTTATTTTTTCAAGACCATTGAATAAACTTTTAAGAGAAAAATATTGAATAATAAACTTTTAACATAAAAATATTGAGTCAGTGACTCAACTAAGCAAACTTTTTTTTTTTTTTTTTTACTATACTTAAAAACTTTAGAAGACACTGGAAAAATAACTGAGCAACAGGATTAATTTCATTTCCACTCACAATGCTTTTACAATATCAAAAATAAATACTGAATTAAATATTTAGAATTTAAATTCTAATTATATATTATTAAATTTATGTAGAAACATTCTTAAATGTTTTTCATTCATTGTTATAATACAAAAATATTACATTTTTCTTCTATTTTACATTTAATGGTAGATTTATTTTAAAACTGGAAAAAACAAATTACTCATAAAAAAATAATATAGCAACTCAAAATAAATACTTAAGTAAATGATATTCCAGCCATAAGGAAAAATTTCTTTGAATTACTTAAGCCAACAACACTGGTGGAATAGCTTGCTCAAGCTAAAACTGAAACTAAAATGTCCCATTGCATTACAACTGGCCTCCAGGTCTGTCCCTTCAGATTATGACTTGGCTGTCTAATATAGAACACCATAGTGAGAGATGAAATTGTAAGCTTGGGTGATCAGGGATATAACACATTTTCAGATAGAATTGACAAGGATACCTGTGATAATCAGGTCAAATGAAGGGGAGATTCTGAAAGATGAAAAATGTTCCACTGAGAGTGGATATAAGCAATGCAAGGCCACGATTTTGATTGGCCCGCCAAGTGAGAGAAAGACTGGAATGGAGCTTCTTGTTTTTCCATCCAATACTTATGACACAGGGCCATTATTCTGATTGGACCCCCCACCCAATCATATTGGGTTCTTGGGGGCTTTCCTTCCTTTCAAGATGTATGACAAGACCATTGGTCAAGCATTATTATTGACTAGCCAATCAAAGTAATACAATTGGGGTTTGCACCCCCATGAAAGCAGTTGCTGAAAGAGCAGAAACTGGTTTCACTATAGACCATCACTCTCCCTGTGGAATGACCGTGGTGCCCCAATCAGCTAAAGACCTGTTCCCTATGCCACTCTCGATGAGCTGGCTTCATTAAAGTAGTTGAATGACTCTGGGTTGTTTAGCCATAACTGCAATTGCCAATTTCTTCCTCCTAGATTAAGAATTCTTTATATAGGGAAACTTCAAATCCCTTTTGTTTATGTATTCATGATCTTAATCATAGTGCCATAGATAAGTTGTTATTTTTACATTTGTTAAATTGTGTTGCTGAAGTTAAGTTTCAAGCATAGCCAGGACAGAGAGGAATCAAGCCTAATCTTTGACAGGTCTTCATCGATATTCCTGCGTATACTTAAACACAATATGGGGGTGCAGGATTGGAGCAGTGCAGGTTTGCTACAGACAGACCAACAGACTAGGACCAAAGTGTCATTTAGTGAAACTCACAGCAATAGGGTTATAATTGGTGCTCATGACGAAGGATTTGACACCAGGAACTCATCTACAATTGGTGCAGTGGTGTAGATCACCACTGCACCATTGTAGATGAGTTCCTGGTGTCAAATCCTGATATGATCCCAGAAACTCAAAGGACTAAGAACAACCTCACCACTCAAGAATCACTAGAATACAAGGTAGGCAACTACTTCCCTTTCTTGAATCTGTACAAATTCAGCTTTTGACTTGTTTTCTAAATGATGGCAGATACAAATACTTGTCCAGTTCATGGAGTAATATCAAGCGGATCAAGGATCCCAATACTCACTGGAAAAGCACTAGTTCGCGGCATTAAAGAAAAAGGAATGGATCTACAAACTAACAGATCCAGAGCTAGTCAACTTGGCCTACCATTTCTGATGTAATCACATCAGTGAATATTTGGACAACCACACAGATGCCTCCAGTATGAAGTGGTTTGAAGAACTATCTGGCCAATATGGAGAATTTGCAAACTCTACAAATGCTGCTATGGCTCTAATAAGAATGAAACAGAATAAGCCAAAAAAAAAAAAAAAAAACAACAGTTACAGTGAGAAAACAAAAGGACGAAACACCCCAAAAGGGATTGGGGATAACCTAAATGGAAGACTAGTTAATTATAGAGACACAAAAAGTAAAAGAGCAAGGGAATACACACTCTTCACACAGGGGTCAGATATAATATGCAAGGTGAGGATAGGAGGAAAAGAAGTAGAAACATTGATTGATCTCAGGTCAGAAAACTCTTCAATGAATCAAACATTTAAAAAAAATAAAAAGTTTACATAAATTTTTTTCTATTGTTTTTCTACACCTTTTCTTCCTTACTTCTTTCATACCACAATTACAGTGAAGAAAGTCAGCTTCTAAAATTCTTGATAACATTTGATAAGCTTTGTTTATATCAAACCACTAAACCAAACTAAAAAGTATTAGAACAAGTAATAGTCAACCAGCCGCTATATGGGAAGCAATTAAAATGTTACACAAAAAAAGATTTGCAAACTAACATACAATGAAGAAAAACACTTACACAATCAGGATCTCAGTACGTTTTATTGTTTTCCATTTACACTGAATAAGAATCTGAGAGATATAAACATTTGATGGAGGTCTGAATTTTCAAGTATAAAAAGTGGAGCGGGGAGAAATTTACAAATTTAACTTTATTTATTTTGCAGAGCTGCAGGTTCAGTAAAAAATAAAAAATAAGATAATATAAAAAAAATGCTTTTCTTTACAAATTAAAAAAGTAAGAATGTTATATGTAAACAATTTTCATGCTGAGAAAGAAAAAAAACTTATGAAATAATTAAACACATAACATCACCTGATTAAAACAAAATTCAAAAGTAATAACTAAAATACGAAAAAACAGCTAATTTGTTTAAAAAATCTTTTCGCAAAGTTTAATTGTTTTTCTTCCAAACTTTGGCTGAACAAATACCAATAGCCTGAAAATAAAAATAAATTAAATGAGTAAAAAGTTTCTTAATCATGACAAATTCAAGATTTATTTGAAAGTAATTTGTCTACATTTTCTTCAATTATAAACTAGACTTTATGGACACAATCACAAAAGTAAATTTGATAGAAAAAAAAAAAGAAAAAAAAAAAGAGCAAATATAATTATTAGATTGTTCAGAAAATAATGTCAGATTTTAGAATCAACTTTTATTCCTGAATTAATGTATTTAAATAGTGGTTAAATCGGTCAAAATAGATTAAAGTTATTTATGCCTTTATGATAAAACTGGACACCAAGAAATTTTGAATGCATTTTTTGCAACAAAATATCTTTTGGCTTAAAAAATTGTCAAGATGCTTGAAAAATGGTTGTCAGTGGGTGAGAGGTCAAGAGAATATAGTGGATGTGGCAAAGTCTTGTATCCTAAGTCAGTAAGCATCTGCAGTGTCATTCAGGCAACGTGTGGCCAAACATTCTCATGAAGAAGAAGTGAACCTTGTTAATTAACCAATGCCAATTGCATAAATGAATGCATATTTCATTAGTTGCTGACAGTAAACTTCAATAGTGGTGCATGGGTTTGATTCCAGAAACCTTTAATGGATAACGCAAATGGTGGACTACCAGACAATCACCATAATCTTCTGTTGATGCAATTTCAGTTTTGGTAAGTGTTTTGGTGTTCATCATGATGAAGCCATTGAGACAATCATTTATGGTTGTCATAAAGGATCTATTTCTAATCACAAGTCACTATTCAATCAAGAATTGGATCATTCGAATTTCAGATGGAGCATCCAACACTTCAAAATGTCGAACTCTGATTTTCTCTAAATTCATGTAGAACCTATTTATTGAGTTCATTCACCTTGCCAATTTTCCTAAGATGGTCTGATTGTTGGAATGTTAACATCCATTATTTGAGATATTTCTGACACTTTGATGTGGATTTTGTTCAACTAGTGCTTTCAGATGTTGTCAATTGCTGCTGAATGTCCTCTAGTACTTTGATCTATGAAACTTCAGCAATCACCACCATACTATCTGATCACCCTATGCTCCATTAATATTGGCAACAATTTGAGAAGTATTATGACTAAGCTTGAACTAATGCATGTTTAAGATGAGGTAAAGTTTTAAGTTAAATTCTGAAAGTGATTGTTATAAAATTAAGAAAGAGGAGACTAATTGTTAGGAATGAGGAAATATATTTTTGTGCAACTATTAGAACACCATTAAAAGGCTTATTTTATTTTATTCTAAAATTAGGCATTATTTTCCAAACAACATGGCTGAAAGCATATTCTGCTACAAATAAATGGAATACATAAAAAAGTTAGTTCCATTAAGTATAATAAGATATGACAAAAAAATGTATAGATTTAAAAAGAATGAAAAAAAGATGAATGTTAGAAGTTTACCAGTAATTTTTAGGCTGTTTTCAGATACAGGTTCACCATGTGCTAAATTTATCTTGCACCCTGTCAGCTTATGTTAAAATAGAAGGTGCTAATTGTATCAACTTATTTAGGCATAAAAGTCTAATATTGGTTTGGTAACTTTTTATTTTTAATATTGTAGACTTTTGGTACGTAAAATAAAAATTAAAAAAAATACTTTTACCTTAAAATTCAGAAGGAACACATGCAATTTCATGTGGAAAATGAGGAAAGATAAAACAACTGAGAAAAAAAAGTTAAATTACTAAATTCGTTTCTAATGAAGTTGGTTAACCATGTGCTAAATTTATCTTTCACCTTTATAAGCTTACCTTTCCACTATGCATTGAATATTGTTGACATATTTTGGCTATGAATCTAGGATTGACAAAATCCAAAGAAGAATCTGCCATGTTATTGGTCCTCACCTAGCATCTCTGCTTCAATGACTTTCCCACTACCCTAACATAGCTTTTCTAAAACATTTTCATGGCAATTGTTCTGATAACATCATGAATTTAAGCATAACACTAAACAGGCAGCTAGATTTCATTTTATTATTGAAATTGCTAAATGTAGACAAAGTTTTATGAATTTGTTCTCTTGTGTTTTTCATCTGTGGAACACTTTCAACTTCTTGCTTTCCTGTCAATTATGATCTTCAAAAATTTAAATGCAACATGGTCATTTTCTATCTTTATGAATCTTGTTCTTTTATTGGCTTTTCTCAACATTTTCTCAGTTTATATTTATTTCCAGTAATCCTTGTGTTTTATGTGAGATAAAAGCAAGTTTTTTCATAATTTAGTTCTACTTATCTTTGAACTCTAATGTCTATGATAGCAAGTTTATTATTGAAAATTTTTTTAAAAGATTGAATTTTTCAGTTGATGTGGTGAAAGCAATTCTTGACAAATTTAAACTTAAAAGCAATACAAATCTGCTTTAAAGTTTGGAAATAATAAATTCTCTTCCAAATAAAATCAGGTTCTTTCAAAGTAGAGTGTCATAATATCATAGCCTATCTTCTTCATTTACCACCATACAAACAAATAGTAATATTTCTAGTTTTGACTTACCCTAGTTATTGACAAGGTTCACTATAGAAACATTGCTATTCTTATCAACTTAATTATCAAACCTATATATAATACCTGTACCACCATTTGGAAATCTGAAAAATTAAGTTGGGTGGGGGGAGAAAGAAAAAAGGGGAGTCTAGACCCAATGGTTTCAAATACAATTATGTATTTGTGATTTTTATTTAAGAAAATCTCTAAAGTCTGTTGTTGGTATCTACTTAAAAAGCTACAGGAATCAGGCTGAGGTGACATCAAAGCTATTATTTTAAATAAAGCAGTAATGAAATCATAGGAATGCTGTGTGAGGTTGTCTGGAGCTCACTTACCTTACACTTGACGGCAGCAACATAGGAAGAGCACCAGTAATGGATTCCAAAACTACAGGAATTGTGTTGTGAGGGTTTGAAATAAAGTGTGTTGGAACTCTTGCAGAATGACAAGGCCTGTTAGTAAAAACGTGGCAGGTAGCAAGTTAGTAGGGGCAGTAGGGAAGAAGCTAAGTATATTAATAGAAATAAGTGTGTATATTATACTAATATGAAAATGCAGTACTTTATGCAAACAAGTTCAGAGTCAGTGATTTTGGAAATAAATATAAGACATGCAAAATTCAGATTTCATAACTCCACTCACCTCCCTTGTAATAGTTATATTATCTTATATTATTATATATAGATTACAAATACACACCATTATTTTGGCAATAAAAATAAGTTGGAGAAATCTGGCATTTCTTGATGATTCTCAATACTCACATGTTACTGAAGCATCCTCAAATTCTATCTTTAGAGACATTAACACCTTTTCATCATTGAAACATTTGATTCTTCCATGTCAGATTGGAAGTGTCAATTTGATATTACAGATGTTATCAAGTCAGATATTTGTTTTAATGATAACTAGGTCAACAAAGAAAGAAAAAATATTAAATTTTGATGAGACTATCCAGTTTGGTAAAAAGAAAACTTGCAAAAATTACTTCAAAGTTATTTCATTCTCCTGTTATTGTTAAGAGGAGACAAAATTCCAAATAACTATTATGCTATCCACTAATGCTGATGTAGTAGTAGTGGCATTATGGTAAATGTAGCTTTTAAAATAAAATAAATTCAGAAAAGAAATAAACTTAGCAAGTGTGATATTTGTACAGAGTATAAATGATTGTTAATCTTTTGGAAGAGTGTTCTTACAAGCAGAACAGTTCTGCATTGCAGACACAAGGAGAGATTTCAATACAAAGAAAAAGAATGAGGATTACATTAGAATGGAAAAAAACACTATAAATCATGAAACACAATCCCATATAGATTGCAGTCACTGACAAATGGAAGCACTATCTTATTTTTTATCATTTCACTTCAATCAAAGTGATAATGCCACTAAGACAATGAGTTACTGTGAGTGAAAGAGAAGGAGAAGATTTTAGTGAGGAGAAAGGACAATAAAAGAACAGAATTCAGGACAATTAAGACTGACATTACATTTAAATTTTTGAAGATTGTAGGTGGCAGGAAAGCAAGAAACTGAAAATGTTCCACAGGAGAGAAGTGTAAGAGAAGAAACTATTAGCTAATTCAACATTAAAATTATGAGACTTAGTTGGCAAGCATAGTAGTATGCTTAATTTCATGCAGTTATGGTACCAAGGAGGAAAGCTCTTTAGAACAATTGCCATGAAAATATTTATATAAAAGAGAGAGGGTAAACCATGTGACAGCAGTGGGAAAGTGATTGAAATTGAGATGTCAGGACCAATTAAATTACAGACACTTCTTTGGATTTTGTCAAGAATCTTGAGATATATAGTAGGAGCATCAGATATAGTAGCAATATTCAATGCATGAACAAATGGTACATTTATAAATGTGTAAAATGGATTCTGACAAAAGATTGTCTGGCATGACAGTGAACCTACTTTCCTTGCAGCAGACCTAGCTATTTATTCAATATAATTACTCCATGTTGGTGAAAAATGTGTGACCAAGAACATGCAATGAGTTGCTCTCCTGGAGATTAGCATCTGTCATGCTGATGGAGAGCAAAAAAGGCTTTCTATGGTGATTAAAAGATAGCATTAAAATTTACATGCCATTCCTTGGCCCCAGTTAACAACTGATTGGAAGTAAATTTTGAGAGCAGCTGCCAGTTTTACTTTGTTGGACCTGTTAGACTTACAGGAAAAGTAAAGGAGTTATTTCATCAACAAAAATACCTAGTTGGGAACTGATGACATAGCTGCCTAAAGCCTCCTGACTGCCACTTTAGGTGAGTCTTTAAAGACCCACTCAACTCATGCATATTCATCAGGCAATATTATTAATAATTCCACTTGCACTCTTTTTACATTGCAAATAGTTGCTGGCATGCAAAGCATTATGTTCATTTTGCTTTATGTTAGAAATTGATCACAAAAAAACAAAAATCTATTTTAAGCATCCCTAAGCAATGAAATTTATAGCTTTAAAAACATGATGGAAAAACTATTTTCTAATTATTGTTGATCTTAATACCAAATTTTGTGCAGCAACTTTGAAATGAAAACAGCAATTAAAGATTACTTTTTGTGCTGGATATCAACCTTCAATGTTTCTAAAAATAATTGAAAATTTAAAACAGATGTGTACATTGGGTAAGACTTAATATAAAATTAATGACCATAGCACCTGAAAAACAATGGTGCATACAAACAACTGATGCTGTTATTTCAAATAGGTATACATGATTAGTAAGATTTTTGTTGATATGAAATTGCACATTCTTATGCACTAACTGTTTATAATGCTTTCTAAAGTTTTTCTGGATTTTCACCTAACTAGTTATATTTGTGATAATTAGAAATTTTATCTTAGTTCACCATATGGATATATATGCCAGAGTTCACACTTTTCACTTGGTTAGAAACCCAGATATTAATCCTGAACCCTATGTCAAATAAAATTCAACTATTATTTTGAATTGTAGTAAACAGCAAAATAATTCTGCAGAACATCATTACACCCCAAAGGATGCTGATGACAATGACCCGGCACTATTGAAGGAAAATAAAGATTGGACAAAATTTTCAAGGAATAAACTGATATTGGTGAATATATTTCTGGTAATATATTCAGTAGAGCTGAAAAAACTACAGGCAAATATAAAATACATAAAATGATGGCAGTACTAACTGGATTGATTTCAGTCAACTTAATGATGGGTCAGTTGTGCCTGATGATTTGGAGATAAGAGTGAAAGAATTATGGCAGCAAAAGAAAGTGAAATTAAGAACTGAAGGAATAATTATGTGTCTGATGAAGTCAAAGATTAAAATCAAAATGCCTGTGAGATGGATAATTACTGCAAAAATAAAAACAACAATGTTATTACCAAACATAACTAATTTATGTTAAGATTCACTGACATACTCAAAACAAATCAGTTCATATAGCACTTTCCTTGGCTTCATCTAACCAGTGGATGTGTCCCCTGATGCATATTAAGAAGGCATATTTCCAGAGTGACAAGATTGCCCAGGGATAATTACATTCAATTTGAATGTTTTAATGGAATTTTAGATGCAGATAGATCAAGGTGCATAAGCTACAAGTCTTTAATGAATAAACTAAATTAGCTACAAATACCAGACCTGATATTGCTTTTGGCAGTTGTAATTTAAATATGTCCTCTAACAAAGCTACTGTGGCTAATCTAAAATTTAAGAATAAAAAATAATCAATGCAGTGACATCATGGTAGCTTGAAATTGATTTTCTTGAAAATGTAAAATGTAGTTTCTTTGAATGATGCACTCTTTGCAAACCTCTCTGATGGTTGATAAAAAAACACTTGAAAGATAATGCCATGCCACACCTGATTTGATATGTGAAGCCACAGAGACTGGTTTTTGAAACTGAGAAAAATATTTTCAAAGAAATTCAAAATTTGGGTGACAAATCTGACATCAAATTTATATTAGGTTTAAATGTTATAAGTAGCAATGAAGAACATTGTGAGTATATCACTTTTGAAAAAAAAATACTCAAAAATGAGTGTTCTTTTATAAACATCACTTCAACACTTGTCCAACTTAAAGCCAAAGAAATTTACCTATTTGTAATAAATCTAAAGACAATAAAATATTAAGGGTTTATGCTTTTAATGTTAACAGCAATTGCAATTTGACAGGTTCCTAAATCAGATAAAAATGTAGTAACATTTTAGTTACTGATTTACTTACCTCACATACTTTCTTTGAAGGAAGGTCTTGAATTAAGAGAGGGATTAGTTTATCTTCATAGTTTTGCACAAGGTTGTCACACTTGCAAGAAAAAAAAAACTATTGTAGAATTTGTTCATAGACAGAAAAGAAATTTCCAATAAACTTTATTCTAAGTATTCAAATTTGTTTCAATTAAAAACAAAATATGAAATTGCATAGAATGAAACATTAGCATGACAAATTAAACAAGACTATGCAAAAATCAATCATGGAGATAAGACTTAATTGTGAAAAATTTTGGAATCTTTACTTTTACCGTGAAAAACAGTAATTCATCTGTGATTCCATATATCGTCTTTACTATTCAATCAATTCAAGATTTGTCTAAAAAGATGTTCTGCTTCCTCATCATATTAGATCTGTAATTTACCATGTTAAATATCAAGAAAATAGCTTGTTGTAAAATGAAGAATTAGTGCAGGGTCTCAATGGCCATTACCAATGGTCTTCAAGTCAGAATCTCTCTCCATTGCATTCAAATCTGACAGTTTCTATAGTCACTTAGACACCCAGGATTAGTTAGATCAAAATTTTCATAGCATACCAATTTCTTTATTAACACACTACAGAACCAGAATTTTTACTTTCAGCAGAGAATAAAAGTGTGTGGCAAGAAAGTGATTTTTCATTGCTAGGTAGAATAGGCCAGACGTTGGAATTAAGAATTAATCAACATACATAGAAAGGAAATATGGATAATTTACATAGGTGCATCAATACATCAGAGTCTGCAGCAGCTGAGAATTTGTTAAATAACCATCAATACATGCAGTCTTATAAGAGACATGTTTTTGCATGTTTTCCATCTAAAAGCCCTGTGCAAGCAGATGGAACAACATCTAGGCCTGAATATTATCAGCCTTTAATGATTATATATTTATTATATACAACATTCTGTCTTTGGTGTTTTCCATTTTATTCACTGTGCACATTTATTTTGTCCTCAATAATGTGCCAAAAGAGGAATGAAAACCAGATAAACCATTTTGTTGTGCTTTTCTGATTTACCTGTTCACAGTAACTATAGCATGTTTTATTTTTATTATTATTAATATGTCCATTTTTTTATTGCAATTATTAAATTTCCTTTCAGGGTAGTAAAAATATAAAAACATTTTTGAAGATAAAAAAATTACCTCCTGCATCAGATATCTGGATTCCAAGTAAGAGCAAGATATTTGCAACAGATGCTTTAATTTTTCTAAAGACAATTTTGCAATAGTCAATGACTGAAGGTAATTAACAACATTCTGACATACAGGACAGTTAATATCACTTTTGGGTTTCAAGGCTGGAAAGAAACAAGACTCATTAAATGCTATTGTAATTGTTGTAATCTAGGAAAGGTTACTGAATTGAATAATCACACAAAAGTTAGTAATGAATGATAATACTTAGGACAAGAATAACACATAAGATTCGCCAGTGGCATGTAGAAGTAGTCAACTGAATTTCACAATGAATTTCCAACTGCAGACCAACACATACAGTATTCACTACTGTATTTATGGGAATGGGGGCATACTCATCATCTGTAGGTATGCTACAACACTCCACTTTTGGATTTACTCTGTACAGAGTCAATATTTTTTCCTTTTTTGGGTTGACTTTGATCCTTTCTATATCCCTTTTTCTTTTACTTCATCTCTTTCGGACTTCTATCTCTGGATGGACTAATTGAAAGTATCAAAAATAACCTCCATAGGTTCAACTTCATCTAGAGTAGTGTTCTTTTCAATTGGATACTTATTTTTAATTAGATTATAGTGCCTCTTGTGCACCATTTCAAGATCTTTTACTAGATACACCATCTTGCCAATTCTTTGAATGATAGTTTTGACTTCCCAATGTTTTATTTGACTGGCACATATGGTAAAAAAAATCTTTTGACCGATTATATAAAAAGTTTTTTTTAGGTTTTTGTACTATATTATCATATTTTTTCTAATTGAGTATAAGTTTGTCATGTCCAAAGACATTTCTATACACCTGTAAAAATTTCTGTAATGCAGCATCTGTGGATCCACTGTTGGCTTTTTTAGAGCCCTTTTGAAGGTATCCACAAAACACTGCCTGGCCATTACTTCTAGGATGGTAAGGAACAATTGTTATGTGCTACACCACAAACATTTTGCAAAATTCATTTAATTCTTTAGACGTAAATTGCGTGATGTTATCCGACATAATCGAATCTGGTACTATGAACCAGTTCATGAACTGTTTGTGTAGAAACTGAATTACTACTTGCGTGGTTGGTTTGTTACATCTAAATATGTCACTTCGAAAAACTATGACAATTAGATAATATGTACCATTAAGTGGACCAGCAAAGTGAACATGCAGATGTGACCATGGGTGGTCAGTTTCTGGGTTGAACTTAATTGGTGGTGCTTTAGTTGCCAAAGCACAGCCTTTGCATGACTTCACTAGACATTCAATGTCCATATCCATGCTACGCCAATATATGTAACTTCTCAGCAAGCTTTTCATTCTGGATATACCAGGACGTCCTGCATGAAATTCTTTCAGGATTCTCTTTTGTAGTGCCAAAGGTACCACTTACTCTTTTGCTGTACATCAGAACATCATCACATATTGAGTATACTCCCAAATCTGCTTTAAGTTTTTTCTTCATTTCAGTAATAAATTTGTCCTCTAATGCTTTACTTTTTATATCTTCCAACATCACAGGTAGTTCCCGCACAGGTATTGCATAGTACATTTTTTTATCTCTACTTCCGATTGTAGAGAAACAAAGACAGTATCTTCTAAAGGTTCATTATTTCTTGGTATAAGTCTGGACAGCCTGTTTGCCTGACTTAATTTACACAATGGTAAGAATTCTATTTTAAAGTCGTAATTTAGTAAAATGGCTCTCCATCGTTGCAACCTATTAGCTGTAGGAGTTGGTAATCCTTTTTTGAACCCATAAATAGCTATCAATGTTTGTTACCTGTTTGTAGAATAAACCTTCTACTGTGAATGAATCTATGAAATTTTTTCAAAGGAAAGACAATCCATAAACTTTCCTTTGCAATCACGGAGTAATTTTTCTCAGCTGTAAAAAGTGTTCTGGATGTATGTGCAATCGGTTTAATTAGTCTTCTAGTTTGTGCATAATGCAGATTCCTATACCATATGCACTAGTGTCACTTGCTTTGATTATATTTTTTTTTGGGATCGTAGTGCATCAAGAACAAATCTGATGTTAGTATTTTTTTAAAATTTTCTCAAATGCTTCCTGGCATTCTCTCGTCCAAGACCATTTAGCATCTTTCTTCAAAACCTCATTCAACGGAGCTTGCAAGCAATGCCTATTTGGTACAAATACTTGTAGTCAAAGAGATAGTCAGGTACCCCAGAAAAAATTTTGTGTTTTGTGTGCGATCTGCCAAAGAAACATTACCAAAAAGTAGTCAGCAAAAATCTTATAGTGAAGAAAACGGCGATTTACCTCGTCAAACCAAGCGACAGTGCATCGTGTGTATTCTACGACGGAAAAAGTGATGAAAAAGAAACAAGTCCGTCGCAGGAGTCGCTATAACAGTATTTTGATATGCAAATTACGGAGCATCCTATCCCAGCTGTAGACGGATGAAAAAAATAGGTTCTGCCGATAAAAGCAGTTGGTGTTCTCGATTCGGGGGCAGAAAATTTGGGCATTTTTGGCTTCGGCGTTTGTTAGAGAGTGAATTATTTTTCTGACTAGTTACACGCATTATGATTCGAGATAGTACCGGCGAATCGAGTTTTCAGCATTTCTTTCTTCCCCCGATATTCGAGTCTGTACTTACAGTGATTTTTTCTGTGTGTTGTGGAAGTAATCTGCGACAAATACTTCCTTTGCTTTCAGAACACTTACACTTACAAGCTATTTCGGCATTTACTTTGTCTCTAGCAAGATGGCGGAAAGACCGTTCGATATAAAATTAATCCCCGAATTCAATGGTGATACGAGTGGACAATCTGTGGTTGAATGGATTGAAAAAGTGGAACTGGTCTGCGAATTATGTGAGATCACGAAGATTGAACGGATTCTTCCACTGTGATTGAAAGGCGGTACCCTTGCTGTGTATAGGCAGCTGAGCAAAGAACAGAAAAGTGACATTGAGCAAATAAAGCACGCTCTACTAACCGCGTTTAGAACTGACCAGTTCGTGGCCTACGACCAATTCCAGGCACGGCGTCTGCGACCTGGCGAGACAGTAGACATATATTTAGCAGAATTAAAGAAGCTCGCTGTTCCAATCGCACCGCTTCCTGAAGAATGGATAACATGTGCCTTTGTGTCTGGATTGCCTAGTTATGTTAAGCAGATACTCCGTGCATCATCCAGAATAGAAGATCTGACGCTCAATCAATTGTTTACCAGAGCCCGTGCTATCATGATCGACGAAAAAGAGGCTGATGAACTAGTGGCCGCAGTTGTTCAACCAATTGAAGTCAAAGAAGGTCCGACTTCAGCCATCCGTCGCCATGGTGTTGCTACCTGCTATCAGTGCTCTGGGCCGAATCATTTTGCCAGAGACTGCCGCTATCAACGCAAAGAAATGCGCAGCGAGTCGGCGCGAAAGGCACGTCTCGAACTACGATGCTTCCAATGTCATAAAGTAGGTCATATTGTGTCAAAGTGTCCGGAGAAATGGAAGGGGGGGGGCGACGTCAGCACCAGTCTCTTCCCCGCACTGAGCAGGAAAGAGGCACTCCCTGTGATTAAGGTGCACATCAATGGAATAACATGTTCCGCTTTAATAGATTCAGGCTGTCGACAGTGGAGCAGACAAAAGATGGACGTACTAACAGCTGATGGAAAGGCTCTCAGAAGCCAGGGAGTTGGAAATATCACAATCAGTATCAACAATGGTGACCCCCTCACAGTGAGTGTGTTGGTCGTGGACAGCGCATTATTAGGTTTCGATCTGCTCCTTAGGATGGACATTATTAAGGAGCTGGGCGGCGTACGCATTACAGAGGCGGGCGAAGTCAAGTTTTCTGATCTGCCGATCTGTGCTACTTTGAAGATCAACGAACCTGACTTTAGCGCAGAGTTCGACCAAAGGATGAAGATATGGACAGCATTTTGGAAATGGTCGGAAAATAACCCACCAGAAAAGCTCCAGAACTGAGTGTCAGAATATTCGGTGCCTGAACGCATCAAGGAAGAATACCAGCACGAATTGCAGGTGTGGCTGGACAATGGATGGCTGACTCCGTATCCCGAGGAAGAGCTTGGTCCTCCAAGAGGACTCATCCCATTGATGGCCGTGGTACAAAAGAACAAGGGAAAAGTGTGCCCTGTACTAGATTATAGAGAACTGAACGAACATGTAGACACATACACAGCTCATGCTGATGTGTGTGCACAAAAATTGAGAATAATGACGAAGGGATCCAATGTCTCTGTGATTGACCTTCAAAAGGCCTACTTGCAGGTGCGTATGCAGTCACTGTGGCCATTTCAGACGGTGATCCTTAATGGGACGAGATACTGCTTAACCCGAATGGGATTCGGACTCAATGTAGCGCTGGCCATCATGAAAGCCATCATGGATGCTGTGCTATCCCAGGATGAGACAATTGATCAGCGACATCAGCTTACATTGACGACATCTACATCAACAAAACCTTAGTACCTGCTGCACAGGTGAGAAAGCATCTTGCTGACTTTGGGCTCGAATGTAAGAACCCAGAACGACTGGAGGATGGTGCTCGTGTGCTCGGCTTGCAGGTCTAGGGGGAGCACAACATGCTTTACTGGAAACGTAGAAGCGAGCTTCCGGACATTCCCAGACACGACACAGCATGTTTTCGTTATGTGGAAAGCTGGTGGGACATTTTCCCGTGGGTGGGTGGGTGGATCCGCATTGCAACTGCATTTATTAAACGTAGGGTGACTGCAGTCACTTCCGGCTGGGATGACACAACAAATGATGCTCCCCTTAGACACATGATAGCGGAAGTCATTACTAGGGTGCGTCAAGACGACCCCGTACGTGGTAAATGGTGCGTTGACGGATGTGAATTTAATGTCTGGGTCGACGTGAGCTCCCTTGCAACAGGAGTGTCTCTTGAAGTAGGTGACACTGTCGTGGAAGATGCGTGTTGGTTGCATCCCGAGAAGGATACGCAACATATCAACCTGTCAGAATTAGATGCCGTTATCAGGGGAGTCACCATGGCCCTTCAATGGAATGCAAAGGTGTTGCATTTATTCACAGATTCTGGATGCGTGTATAAGTGGATAGCAGACACTCTTACGGGGAAGGCCAGGATACGTACAAAGGCTGCGAGCGAGATGCTCATTCGAAGACAGCTAGACACACTGGGAAAGTTGGTAAGTGAATACTACTTATCCGTAGATATACAGCTGGTCAGATCACATCAGAACAAGGCTGATACTTTAACAAGGGTACCCCAAAAATGGCTTGACGCTATTAAGAAAGAGGTCACTAAATGTTGTATTTTCGCTAATCCTTGATGCCAAAATGTTATTTTGGCTAATCCTCATCATCAAAATGTTGTAACCTAGGAAAGATTACTGAATAGAATAATCACATGAAGGTTGGTAATGAACGATAATACTTAGGACAAAAACAACACATAAGATTCGCCAGCAGTGCATAGAAGTAGTCAACTGCTAGAAGCGAGTCAAATGAATTTTACAATGAATTTCCAACTACAGACCAACACATACAGTATTCACTACTGTATTTATGGAAATGGGGGCATACCCATTACAACAGTATAGCTCCTTAGAGGAGAAAAGAATAATAATATCACCTCTGAAAAGGGAAGAGGGATAACAGATGAAGAGTTCATTAGTGATGAGCAGGTCTATGGTTCCAGGAATATGAAGTAGCCATCTGCTTAGTGAGGTAATTGTATATTTTCCACTGGTACCACTGATTTATGTCTTAGCCCAGGTAAAAAAAAAAAAAAAGTTATCATTTGGAATATCATTTTCAAAGAAGGCAAATTACCATCAAAATTATCCTTCCTATACAGTGTGCCAAATGAATCTAAAGCTTTGTAATTAATTTGGTATTCCTCAGCCTGTCAAAGTCATTTGTTGGACATAGATCATTCCCTTTGCCATTCATTACCCTACTGTAGATGGCCCAGTGTATATTGGTAGGAGCTTAGAGCACTTGGTATACCCAAGTGGTCACATCTAGGTACTGACAGGTGATCGAATGAAAGTTGATATTTCAATGTGATATAGTCAAAACTTAACTTGGTATTAAATATATTCATTAACATCAAAAATCTATCCTTCAACTGTCTGGATTTAAACCCAATTTTTTTTTAATAAAATACATACCTCAGACTTAGCAAAAACAAAAACTTACATTATCTTTGGAAGTTAATTGGGCCTTTTGTAAACTTTGTTAGGATTTTCTAATACATTAACATAGGTACCTCCACGAGATCGCTAAAAAAAGAGCATAGCATGATGAAAAAGATGCCAAACTTGACGAAAACAAAATTTTATCGTTTAAATGTTTGTTATTATTAAGAGGAAAGGTCAAAAGTATTTTGGGGTATTTTTTTCCATTTTTTAATCGTTCCTAGCACGTCCGAAATTTTCGTTAAAATCTAGTTTTTTTGAGTCAGCAAAATTGACCATTTTTTTCCATTTTAAAAAAAAACTGGAAATCTGACTTTGAAATTTTTTAAATATCAATTATCATTTTTCAAAACTTATTTTAAGAAAATCAGAAATTATAATGTTTATTTAAAATATTTTGAACCAAACTTAACTTAGCTTTTGTGCCAAAAAGATGTAATTTGAAAATAAAACAAAGCAGGTCATAAACTTTTCGCGTCTCTTGACATGTGATGAATGATATATTTCGAATTCCATGAGGCTAATTTGTTCTCTGGAAGGAGAAAAAGTGAAATAATTTACATTTAAGTGAACAAATTATTTACCCCGTTATTTTTAACGAAAACTTTCAGCGGTCTATTTTTTTTTTTTGTACTTAGCTTTCACCTTTACGTTTATGATGCTTTATGGGAAATATATTGTAAAGAAATTAAAATAAAACTGTTAAGAGTGACATTAAATTTCATATTTCTTAAGAAAGGTATCTAATTAATTTATAGGTACCTTTCTTATGAAATTTTATCAGAATTGTACATAAAATACTGTAATTTTATGTACATTTATTACATTCTACTGTTATTTATATTTGCATTCATTTTATTATTAATTTTGATATTTCATTTATGGAAAAATGTAAGTAACTGAGATTAATATAAAAAATAAGATCATATAAATTTCATAAGATGATACTGATACTTGTAGGTACCCTTCTCAGTTGAAATTGAAAAAATCAAATTAACTTCTCCACACGTGTTTAAAAAAGTAAAGGCCTTAACAGCGGAGAACAATGCTTAACTCAAATAACGCAACTTAATTATATTCTGGTTGGTCTTCCATATTTTATAATTACAGCTCGATTATAAGCACAAAATTACATTTCTTAATTACTGGGTATCTTCTGATTAGTCAAAATGATACAATTTAGGCGCTAAAAAAAGATCTATCTCATAAGGACACTTATGAAAGCCGATCTTGACTTTTAACTAATTTTATAATATTTTAACAACTTAAATGTAAAATCTATTATAATTAATGAAATAACAAATAATTGTATTAAAAATTCATTTTTTCATCGAAAAAAACTTTTTTGCTTTCAGAAAATATTGTCCATATTCATAAAAACAACTAAAAGCAAATAAAAGCATTTGAAATTAAATAATATCTTTGTTTTATTGAGTTTTGTATGTTACAATTCAGAGCTGATTTTCAGGTACTGCATGTATCAATTAAAAAAAAAAAAAAACATGATTTGCATTCCTCAAAGCCCTGATTATTGTAATCACTAAAACCGATGCGATCGAATTTCTAGCGTTTTCATAAAATGGGGGGGCGGGGGGGGAATAAATATTTTTAAAAAATATTTCTACCATGACTTTCATAAAAAAAAACATATTTATAATAATTTCGATCATCTGTGAATAGTTCCTGAAAGTTTCATTAACATCCGATAATTATTTCTATTTTTGCACGATTTTTCAAATTAATGTGTGTCATACCAAAAAAACGTGCTAAAAATTGTCTATGTTATTTACTAGTTCCACTGATACAAATAGAAAAAAGGTTTTTTTAATCAAAATTTAGTATGTTCTAAAAAGGAAATTTTTTTAAAAAATAATTAAAAAAAAAACTGGCCTTTCCTCTTAATAATAACATAAGCATTTAGACAATAAAATTTTGTTTTCGGCAAGGTTGGTGTCTTTTTCATCAAGCTATGCTCTTTTTTTAGCGATTTCGTGGAGGTACCTACATTAACAGATAAGAGTAATGAAGGCAGAATGAAAGAAACATTCTTTTAAGTCATTTACCATTAGTTTCTTTGGAAGCAGTTTTCTTCAAAAGTACAGTCAAGAAGTGGTTGTTGATTTCTTTTGAGATTTCATTGAATTCCTTGCATTCTGTGGTGACTCCTGCAGACTTGAGCAATTCACACATCACTCCCATGTAATGTCTAGTTTCAGGCTTGAAAAGAAAATATATTAAAAGTACTAGTTTTGAAAAAATAGTTACCACTCACTTTTCTAATGGCATCTTGTTACATGCACACACAGTAAATGACTGAAAAAGCACCTTGGGCATTTAGAGAAATCTGGACTTTTACAGAGACATTTATTACTTTTATGATTACAACATGTATAATCTCTTACAGTAATTTTCAAAAATAAAATTCAACTTTATGTTCAAAAATTGTAAAACAGCTAAAATATCAGTTGAAGTTGATATCCAGAAATAGTGTCACAAGTTGCAAAGAATGAAACAAGAACACCATGTGTTGGTTTTAGAAGGGCTTATATTATTCATTTTACATATACTGTTCAAGGATATATCTATAAAACTAAATGAGAAATTGCATTGTTGAGCAGAATCTACAGATTATGACAATCACGCAATAGGTATCTTAAAATCAGAGTATATTTGTTGGTCACATACTCAATGAAGCGTCAAGTCTTGACTATTTTTGTCAAAGTTCAAAAGAAAACTTTATCTGTAATTATTGATGAAACACTCCTTAGAGCCATATCCATTCAAAACAACTAAGTCTTACGATATTGCAATGTAATTCTCGACAACAAAATGATCACTACTGTTAAAAAGAGTCTTCCAATAACTTGGACCAATTTTAAATATGAATTAAGTTTAAGCATCTAATGATTTTTTTCTTTTTCTTTCAAATTTAACAACTTAAGTCTTTGGCAATTTCAACCATAGAAAGAAAAAAAGAAAAGAAAAAATATTTAGATACTAAGCATTTAATTTTTTTTTTTTTTTGACAGGGTTGAAATTTAATCACATTTAAAATCAGTCCAAGTTATTGGAACACTATATATGTAATATCTATATATATATATATATATATATATATATATATATATATATATATATATATATATATATAATTTTTTTATAAAAAATTTATAACATAAGTATGTTATAAAATCACTACAAAAATAGCCATTTTGTTTCAACACACTCTGTGTCTTATCAAGTGATGGTGTTGAAAAGAAAATAAATGGTTTTAAAAGTTTCAGATTAATTAACGATCCTACACTAGGGGAGCAT